CAGTGCCGAGCAGGGTAAGGGAGGGATCTCTCTGGAATTCAATGACTCCCTATAGAAATGAAGAAATGGGACTGAGAAACAACAAAAAAATTCTTCTTCTAACTTCAATCTTACTACTCCATTTTCCTCCTGGATAAGTTTTACAAGAATCCCTTGGAAATTTCCCAAAAGAGATTTTTAATAACAAAGGGAACAAGAGAAAGGACTGCTGAATCCTGGACCCAGGCTAGTTTTAGAAATGCCTGAGAGTTTCACTAAGATTTTCCAGTCCTGGTTTCTATGTCACTCAGTCCTAGAATCTGATGCAGCAAAACTATGTCTTCCCCCTCTCTTTCCCCATGGAAGCCTCAGGAGCAGGGTTTCTTAGGAAGGTGGGTGTGGGGTAAAACTCAAGGTTTCTGCTTTGCCTTTGGAGGTCTGTGCCTCCTTTCCACGGATTTGTCTGAGGAGAGGCACTGAGGAGAATCTACTTTTAGTAGATTGTACAAGAGAAGAGAGCAGGTAGCCACACAGAGAAAGTGAGTCTTCTGCTGGATTACAGACACCTCATAGGCATCTCTTGAGAAAGACAGACTTCAGTCCTGTTGCATGTGCACAGAATCGCCTCAATTCTGAGGATGGAAGTTGGAGACTGAATTTACCCCCTAATTGGCAAAGGAAATTTTAGACCACTTGGAATGTGATTTGCTAGATGAGTAATTGGAAGTTTTGATCTCCAGAGCAGGAGTGGAAATGAGAACAAACCCATGTTTGCTCACTGCTGTTACTTAAAATTGTGACCAAAGGCAGAACTGGACACACTACTGACTGTATTACAAGGACAGCCCTCATTTGGGAAAGCAGATGAACTGGAATAGATTGTTTCCTGTAGCCAATCAATCTTTCAAGCAATAAGTATTTATTATGAAATATGAGCAGGATGTTTTAGTGGATGCTTTATTGAACACTGTGTATTGTGTATGTGATCAAGAATGATAATGGTGGTTATATTTATACCTTTCTCTGTGTAAATTGATATCTTTGTTCTCAATATGGACATGCACAAACTTGTACACATAATTAAGTAAAAATAAAAGTCAGTATTTCAAAAAGTTGCCAAAATGGCAGAAACAAGAAGTCATATGTGAGGTTAGTAAATAAAATATATTATTATGGACTGCAGTGGTCACAGTTATATTTGCCAGGAGTCTAGAAAAATGAGTGTGGATTTGACAGGACAGATAAGAATTCTATTATTTGAATTGGGCTCCCTCAGGATTTATATGCTGAAACCTAATCACCAATGGGATGGGAGGTGGAGCTCACATGCATGGGATTAATAACCTTAAAAACAAATCCCCCAGAGAGCACCTTGCCCTTCTACTACATGAGGACACAGCAAGAAGGCATCATCTAATACACAGCAAGTGGACCCTCACCAGACACCAAGTCTGCCGTTGACTTAATCTTGGAATTCTCAGTCTTTAGAACTGTGGAAAATAAATCTGTAGTATTTTGTTATGGTGGCCTAAACAAATTAACACATAGTAATAATGTGTAATAAGGAATGATAATTGAGTGTCAGCTGAGGTGAAAAACACAAGGAATGATTGTAGTAGCTGGGACAACCAGCCAAACCAATCAACCACCCATGCAACCACCCACCCAACCAAACAACCACCCACCCATGCACCCACCCAAAACCACCCACCCATCCACCCACCCAACCAAAATAAACCCCCAAAACTTTAATACATGTGTTTACTTTTGAATCCTTTGGTGTGCATGTTAGTGTCAAGTTCTGATTTACGCCCTGCGTGGTAACCACTCAGGTGTGAATAGTTTGTCCTATCTTGCCTTTTGGGACTATGTGTTGGGATCACTCCTAAAGTCCATTGTCCCTCATCACCGAAACTTCCTTGTCCCCCCAGGATTTTCCCAGGCCACCAGCCCTCTAAATATATTGTACCCATTTCCTGGGCTTATGGGGACTTCTGGAGTCTATGTACTTATAACAGAGATTCTATGGTGCCTCTGACTCTTTTAACCTTATTTTTCTCAAGTGCCATCTTCTCACACCATAACCAAGATCTCTCCCAGAAGCAAGGTGCTTCCCCAAGAGCATCTTGGAAAATGATCTATTTCCCACCATTCTTGTGTTGCTTCTAAACGTATCTACATTTTTTTTATTTCTCTTTACCCTAGGAGTGTCTGTCCTTAGCAGAGAAAAGACAAGAGTCCCAGCATCCAATTCCCTTGTTCTGTTTCCATCTTCCTTTTTCTTCAATTAATCGACCAGGGCCAATAAAAGTGAACTTTCTGTCTGACCTGCATCTTCTTATCACACTTATGTAAAATTGCATGGCAAGTCCAGCAGGCCTTACTGGTAACATGGCAAAATATAAAATAACTTACAATGTGCTATATCTATACATACCTAAGTGTGATGTCAGTTTGCTGCTCTACCATACAAATTTCCTCTTTTTCTGCCTCATCCATTCATCTGCTCATTCCTCCCATTGAATTTACTCCATGTTTCAGGTATCTGTGAGAGAGTCCTATGGTACAACAAAATCTACAACCACAAAATAAGTGTAAAAGTCAAGAAGTAAAAATTAGGTCAGAAACATACAGTTTGGATTGTATTTGAAATTAAATTGTGTGCTTTCAGCCATTGCGGTTAGGGTTGAGTTGTCATATAGGTCATATAGAACTTTTTATTAGTTAATGTAAAGAAGGAAAACAATAGAACCATGGCAATTACCTTGCCTATATGATAAAAAAAAGAAGCCACCAGTCTTGGTAAAAATATTCCTCATAGTAAGTCTGAAGAGCAATTTTTCTTTGGGCATCTCATAAAAGTGTGAAGTAATGTGGAATCTCTGTGCTTGATAAAGAACTTACAGTGTACCCAATAATGAATTCTTTAAGACTGTTGCTTACATTATCCTTCATAAAAAACTGATCACACACTGCATGGAGGAAAGAAAGGTGATGTATTTGCATTGAAATAGCCAAGATGAAGATTGAGCTGAATCTACAGGGCACTTTTGTGAAAGGAAATCTCTTAGGAAATCTAAGGCTAGACCTAATAGGACAGTAAGGAGCAGGGAATAAGAGAGTTGCCAGAATATGGTCTTTTTGAGAGGGAACAGATCTGCATTATGTATGCATACACACATAAGCCTGTGCAATACACAAACACTGTGTTGGTGCTTGGGGGAATCTTTACATGAATTTAGCTTTTTGAAAACTCAATAACATGATGAACTCTGCAGTGCCTGAGGGCTTGCTAAAACAGAATATTTGGTCTATATTATTGTTTATTTCTTTTTCTTATGAGGTTTGTGACATTACTTTTCCTAAATTGCAACCAGAATTATGTCATAGATGACTTGTAATTCACTTAATATATATTGAACAGTGAAGCCATCATCATCGTAGAACTTTAAAAATTCTCACAAATTTATTTATGACTGTCATTATATTTCTTACCCTGTACATGAATGGTTAAAGTGTATAACACTTTGGTAAATTGCTTCCAGGACATTGTATTCTGCATCCTTTAGTTGGCTTTCACTAATGTTTCATAACTTCAAAAAAATTGTTCTCATTTTCTTTCAACATTCCTGCCATCTTTATTCCTGCTTCAGTTCTTCATCTTTGAATTTCTATGTTGCTTTCAGCAACTTTTCTTTGGTTCTTTCTCTTTAACTGCTTTTACTAAACGCTGATCATATTCTTGGATTTTCTGACCCAACTTATTTCTTCAATATGTTCTCAAATCCGCAAGAACGAGTATGGTTCAAACAAAATAAAATATTTGCTTTGGCTCTAGTTTCCTACCACTTTCCTTCTTGCCTACCTTTATCTCTGTTTTTCAGAGGTATCTGAATGTACCATTATTCATAGTATTTGAAGACCTGTGAGTTGATGCATAAAACTTTTGTTTACAACTGAAACAGTCAAGATCATTCCTAAATAGTTTACATGATTTAGAATGATTCTGTTTTGACTTCTCCATATGTGTTGCTTTTGAACTTTCTGAGAATTTTTGATTTCGAATGTAATGTCAGGTTTATCATGACAAGTTATATCAAGCTGTCTTCATTTTTGTTTTCAGTTTAAGCTTTTTAAATACAATTTAACACATCCTTCAGCTAAATTTACCATCAAATATTTCTTATTCATTCTTTTATTTACTAAACACAATTGAAATGATCTTCAAATACCATTTGTACTGAATTTCTGGTTAATAGAACTTCTACATCATTGTGAAGCAATTTTATTTACTGATTTTTTTTTTTGCTTGCTTTGTTGAAACTTAAATTTTGGTAATTTAAAAAATTGTATTATGGGAATTAATATTTAGATGTATTGCTTTTAGATGGCAAATAGAGTTTGAAAGGAAAGTAATAGTGTTGGGATCATCTGTCATTTTTGCCCACCCATTATTCATTCCTCTTCTAGTAGCATCTTAGCTTTGCCTTAGAGAATCACTTCCTGTTTTCCAGATCAGGACAGGTCAGTCCAAGCAGTTGGTCCTATGATGTTTTATGGAATTATGTGAAGAGAAGCTTGTTCCTTTCGCTGCAGTTGTTAAGTTGGAAGTTATGATAGGCAGTTTGTTTTTTTTTCTATTTGGGACATGGTATTTGCTATGCTTGTGGGACATGCAGATAGTAATTAGAATAATTAACAAGTGAAAGATTAAGACAATATTCTCAATAGATGCAGGTCAACTATGAGATTCTGTGGATCGCAATGACATTTAGAATGTTTCTCTTGACCTATATGACACATAAGTTTTGAGGATCAGATGGAATAAAACGTGAATATTCATTGCAAAATGATAAAGCTTTGTGTACATTCATTATTTTATTATTATTTCAAAATTACAGCATCTCTGTATTTCCTACAGTCACATAGATATGAGGTTATATTTTTCCTCCAGAGACAACTTCTCCTGTATGTTCCTTTTACCCTAGCCTTTGCACAGATGCTGAGGTCTGAGGTTTTTGTCAGCCTCTTCTTATTGTCCCTATCACTGTGTGCTCCTTGAGAGCACAGAAATACATCGCAGCATCCCCCAGCTGTGAGTCTGAGATCTTGAGACTGAAGGATTTGGCTGCCTTCTGGAAGTTCACAGAGAAGCGACTCTCTGTTGCATTTTGCTGGGTATAAGCTTCTTGGCTAATAATGAAAACCAGCTGCCCACTGGGATGCTGCTTATACCAGAAGAGATAATAATTACTCTCCTTAGTGTCATATGTGCAGCCCAGGATTGCCATCTCTGCCTCCTGCACATATATTTCTGCTTGAGACTGAGTGATTATCTGGGCCACACTGGGTCCTATAGGAAAGAGGAGAGAAGGGACTTCATTGTGTTTCAAGTGGGAGAGAAACAACATCACAAGCTGGTTCCCATCCCCACCCACCTTTCCTCTTGACTCAAGCCTCAGGCAGTGTCTATCAACTTTTGGCTCCTGTATCTGGGTCCAATGAGAAGATTAGATTCCTTTGCGGTTCATCTTTCTCCCCACTTCCCAGTCCAATTGAATACCAGTAAAAGCAAATATATGTGCCTTCTTACCAAGAGAGGTGGAGACCACCAGCACCCACAGCAAGCTAGGTCTTACCATACTGGCAGCTCCCTCCTATAGATAGGGTGAGAAACTGTTTTTAGGGTGAGAAACTGTCCTTATCTGAGCCTTGGTGTCAGCTGGCCTTTTGACGTCACTGCTTCAGAAAAGGAAATGAAAACCAGGTGGGCTGTTTTGATGCCATCTCACTTAGGAAAACTTATTGCTATCTTTTGTTTTTTTCTTCAGAGAATAAAACTTTGACTATGTCAGAAAAGATACTCTCAGAACCATAATTTATTATGGAATAAAAACAAGGAGAAAAAAGTGGTAAATTGTCTTTGTAAAGACATAATTTGGAGAAGAGAATGAAATGGTGAGGGTAGGATAGTGAGAGAAAGTCAGGCAATGCTAATGTAATTACTTTAATTTTCCTGTAAGCGGTTTTTTCCTCCATCTTTATCTCTTTCCCTCCCTCCATCCCTTCATCTTTCTTTCCTTCTTCTCTTTCACTCACCATCTTTGTCTTGAAGCCAATATCATAAAATGGTCTCTAGGTTGTGATAACACCAGTATTGTTTATATAATTCTTTTACCAATAATGTTTTAATCATTTTGAGAAATGATTAAAGATAGTAACAACAACTCAGGAGAGTCTAGAAAAAATTGGAACCAAAATTTTTGCATCTAATTGCACATTATTTGTTGAGAACTTTTTGTTTTCTTTTTGTAAAGAATACCTGGCTTTGGCTTTGTCAGGGAGCTTTATAATACTGGTGGCAAGCAGTCCTGTAAAGACTTCTGTGCACTTATTTTAATGGCTTTGTGAAGGAAAAGTAAGAAAAATTAACATAAAATTTATTTGGAACATTCTTTGTTGCACATCTGACATTTTTTGTTGACATCTCATTTTTCTTTATACACACATTTTTCTAAGAGAGAGGAAAGATCAGGAATTATAGTCCTAATTTTATAGAAGAGACAACTGAGCAAAGATGAACACTCACAATGCAGGGAGCTGTTAGCCTCATTTGCATTTTCTCTGCCTACTGAATTTGTGTCATCCACTCTTAGCCAAGGCCATCACCATGGTGAAGCTTTATGTAAACTATGCCCCCCACCCCCCAAAAAAAACAAGAGAAAGAAAAAAGACTAAATGAAAAGCTGATTTACTATGTAGTGAGTGGTGGCCTTAGTTCTCCCTTCCTAATTATTATTTCCATTTGGAAAATGTGGCCAACTGGGTTTTTGCCACAGTTGCTCTTAACTCCAGAGGACTCTTACTCTTACTGTGCTGAGTTGCTGCAGCAGCAGAGTTCCTCATTTATTCAGTGATTAAGTGTTTGCCTTACCTACCATTTTGTGGTTAAAGTCATAGGAAATCAGTAAGTATATTGTTCTCTGCAATTTCCCTTCCCTTCTTCAGTCTTTACAGGAACCTGAGCAGTGAGCTCAATACTGAGGCTCTGGAGTAAATGTATCCTGCCTCTTGCCTGGGATCACTGTGACTGTCACATCTTGGGGGATTCCAAATCAGAGGGTTTAGTTTTCTTTTTAGATATTTTCCTGGTCCTCTGGGCCTAGGCAAAGGAGGCTGCTAATTTTTCTTGTGCTACAAAGCCCTGGGTGACAAGAACAGAAACAAAGGTCTGGGTGTGGTGCTTCAAATCTGTAATCCCAGCTGGACAGGAGGCATGGGTAGGAGGATTATAGTCTGTAGCCTGTCTCAGCAAAAAAGTAAGACCCTACCCAAAAAAAAAAAAAAAAAAAAAGGCTGGGGGTATGGCTCAGGTGGTAAAACACTTGTGCAAAGCCCTGAGCTCTAATCCCAATACCACCAAGAAGAAAATAAAACAAAATAACAAAAAGAAACAAACAAAACAACCAGAGATAAAGACATGAGAGATACACTGCAAATCAATTTTATCCTTTACCTGTGATCTGAAGCACTGCCAAAATAATTACAGTAGATAATAAAATTCTTTCCTTCTTAGGTTGTCAGTTAGGAGGGACTTTCATCCTCATTTGTTAGCTATTTACTTAAAAAAATAACATTACAAGGTGAATTTTTAAAGTCATTTCTTCATTGAGACCAGCCTTTAAAAAACAGGATCAGAGCCCTCTGAGCGTCTGGGTTCATGTGGCATCGGTTCTCTCAGCTCACATCCAGGCACAAGCTACTAGGCCATATGACCCATGGAACATGACCCATGGGAGTATCTCTGTGCTTTGGCCTTTCCACACTCATGGAAACTCTGATTCTGGAAATAAAGATATGACCTAGGCTTTTCGAATAAAGGAGGTTTATTCCAGTTTTATTTTTTATTCTTGTGTGTTTGTGTGTATTAGAACATAAGGATCCTTTGACAGACTACCTTTTCCAAGCAACGACATTTAGTGGTAGCAAGCAGTGCTCTCTTTGGGTCAAAGAGGGAATTCCTAGAATTTACTCCTAGTAGTGCAAAGGTTTAGTCAAGAAATCTGTTTTCAAAGTAATTTATCAGCTTCAGATTTCTATTTACATTAAATCAAAAGAAATTGATATTTAAAATGTATCTGATTCTTTCTTTTATCACTGCTTTCTTTAATCCTGCCTTTTATCATGTTTGGCCTCCTCAAAGACACCTTCTGTGTGTGACAGCACCATACTCTGATGCTTCTCCTTGATGTTCTTTTGGGAATATGGATGACTATAAAATAAATTTTAACATAGTCTTGGGGCTTATCAGTACTTATAATGTGCTTAACACTGTGCTAAGGGCACTGAAGAATACCAAAATATGCAAGGAAGTACCTGTCCTCGGGGACTGTGATGTGTACTTAGGGGAAGAAAGATGACTGCCTTGAAATGATAGCAAATGTCTGGAGAAGGTCTTTCTCTAAAAGTAGAATTGGTTGGTTCTGATTCGGTCTTGTAGGACATTGTGAGAGAAGAAGTAAAGGATTCTTAGACTATTAGAGAAGGACTCTTTAGAAAATGGGGCTTTAAGGTGAACATTGTAGGAATTCTATGATTTGATCTGATGTAAATATACATAGGAGGGAAATTTGGGTGGGTGGAATGGCCAGAGGAGAAAGGCTAGAGCCAAAAAAGTGTTCAAGGTGCCCACAGGTCAGTGAGGAGGATAGACTAGAACAGAGGAAATTTTGGGAAGAACTAGGTTTGAATAATGGAAGCAAGTTGGTTTAGGGAGGTGGTCATAGAGACAGAAGAGTTTCACTTTGTAAGTAAACTTTTTGAGCAGTGAAAAGATGTAATCACACACATGCGGAGACTGGAGTTTAGAAAATGTTATCTACTTCACCATCTTCTGAAAAAATAGATATCTTTTCCAAGTAGCCTAATCAGTACTTAGATCAGTACTATTTACTCTGAACCCTCCTCTGTGTTTTTTATTAATTTATGAAAGAGTCTCTGTATCAGTTTGTTTCCCCCTAAAAAGAGACAAAGCAAGGACTCAGGTGAATGCAGAATATTTAGGACAGGATCTTAGGAAGTGGGAGTGTGAACATGGGAGAGCAATCCTGGGGCTTGATTCTGACAGGATCTTCTGAGAAGCAGACAGGATGCCTCTTGAAATTCTCTATTGAAGTTCAGGCTGGTGCATTCATTACTGACTGTCTTGCTCTGTTACTGATGCTGGCAGCAGGGGTGGCAATTCCCCTGTCTGCTTGGCCTGTGCTTTCCCTTGGACTGTGTGAGCTCTTGAGGCATCAGAGAAGGCCTGAAGTAAGAGGTAAAAAAAAATACAGAGTGCATTTTAAATGTTGGATGTTATCAGCTTGAAGGGAGTCTGAGATCCATGAGAATTGTCCACCATGCTATGGCTCAAAGCAGAGATGGGCATTTGGATGGGACAACAAGGCACATGAGGTAGTTTTTACAGCTCTCTCTGCACTATTCAGATGTGTGCTTACCCTATATCATTTCCACTGGGTCATGGAGTCTTTAAGGTTGTAGCTGGCTTCACTTCATTTTGCAACACTTAATATGGGACTGTTGCATGGCACGAGCTTCAGCTTCTACGTCTGTAAGCAGTACTTAGACTGTAACTGATATTCTTCTTCCTCCTACTCCACACTCTCAAGGTTTTCTTACCCTTTAGTTGGCTTTGATTGCTTTCCAATGGATTAGCCTATGTCTTCACTGCTGAGAGGTTTTACTTCTTGATCCTTTTACCCTCTCTGTTGCTACACTGACATGTGCTGCTTTTATTGGTTATGGAAACACCAGGAGAGACCACTGTGAAACTCTTCTATTCCAGACATTTCCTTCTTACCCTCATCAGTCATAATAATTCTGTGCTTCATGTTAGTCAGGTTCACTTACCCCTTCCAGCCTCATAACTTTCCTCTTTGCCTAGTGGATGAGTAGTACAAGGAATTCAAGGTAACCTAGGTGGTGGTCACAGCGGAAGGCTAGTGGAACCATTTCTGAAGTCCCCGATGGAAGCATTTTTTCATCTGGGAACTAAGACCTTTAATCCAGCAGAGTCTAGGGTTGAGAGAAAGGGAAACAAATCCTGACAGTAGGTTACTGGGCATGATATAAGAAGTCTCTATTCTATTCCCATTTCATGGTTTTTAAACTCATGCCCAAAGTACCACAGATCAGTCAGTGGTTTGATGAATATTATCACATCCTGGAGGACAATGTCCAAATACTAAGTGTGTTGACTCTGAGCTGGCTTCTTAGCTGAGCCTAAAGGCCATCCATCATTCTTCTAGGCCATCTGACTTAGGGACCATGGACCCTGTCTATCTTGTAGGTCCATGGTAGGCCCATTGACTCTCATATCTAGTGATGCCCTATTTTTACTCCTGTTTTGTTCTAAAATGGTACTTTGTTTTGAGAAGATTCTATTTTAGATATGGACTGTCAACAAAACACATGAACATCAATTGAAAAAATGGAAAAAGTTGAGATTCCTGAAGGTAAGAGCTCCCAGGCAGATTATGAAGATTTACTGGACAGCGGAAATATTAGGATGTCTGAAGTGACATCCTAGTATGGATACTATGAAGTGATACTTGTAGCACCCAAAGCTCTGAGGTGCAAGTGCAACAGTGAAGGCCCTTTGTGAAACTGGAAAGCAGTTATTATCTTTATGTTATTGTAAGGCTTAAAGCTTGAAGATCTCATCTCCCTGTGTTTTTACATGGGATTAGAAGAGCATTCATTCCCAAGAAAAGGTGATGATTTTCTACTCCTGCTACCCCAGCCACTCTCCCCTGATTTTTGTGCAGATGCCGAGGCCTGAGGTTTTTGTCAGCCTCTCCCTGTTGTTCCTGTCACTGTGTGCTCTGTGATAGCACAGAAATACCTCGCAGCATCCCCCAGCTGTGAGTTGATGATCTTGAGACTGAAGGATTTGGCTGCTTTCTGGAAGTTCACTGAGAAGCCATTCTTTGTTGCATTCTGCAGTTTATAAGATTCTTGGTGAATTATGAAAATTATCTGCCCACTAGAAAGTTGTTTGTACCAGAACAAATAATAATTATTATCACCAGTATCATATGTGCAGCTCAGGGTCACCGTCTCTGTCTCCTGTACAGACATTTCTGGTTGAGACTGAGTGACTGTCTGGGCCACACTAGCTCCTGTGGGAAAGAGGAGAAAAAAGATCCCATTGTGTATCAAGTGGGAGAGAGAAACAGCTTCTCAAGCTGGTTCTCATCCTCATGCACCTTTCCTTTTGGTTTAATGCCCAGGCAGTTTACGTCTCTTGGTAGCTGGGCTTTAATAGACAGTGCAACATATGCACAATTAATCTTCTCTCTTTAGTCACAACCCCATTAGATACCATAATAAAAAAGACCTGTATCTTTCTTACTGAGATAGGTGGAGACCAGGACTGCCCACAGCAAGCTAACAATTGTCATGCTGACAGCTCTGCCCCAGGGAGGGTGAAAAGTCTGCTCTGATCTGGGTTATCCTCTGTGCTTGCTGAGTCTTCAAAACAGGAAATGCTGTCACAGGTGAGTGAGTAATTATGACTCATTGAGGAAAGATTTACCAACCCTTTCAGTCCCTTAGAAAGTAGGTCTTCATTTAAGTTTAAAACGAAAGTGAAAAATGTTTTCTGAGTTCTTTTAGCTTATGATGAAAAGGAAGATGAAATGGAGTTGCAAATTTCTCACAAAAATGACCAAGCAAATATTAGATATTAACACTTAATTTTTTGCACTTTTACAATTTCTCAAAGTGAAGAATGAGAGAAAAGATATACTTATGATGGGAAAGAGTTGAAGGAATTGAGAAATAAGTGGAGGCAGAACACAGTGTCTAGTAATGCTTGTTTTTTCCATGCATACTTGGAAAAATAAGCCTTTGCTTGTGCTACATCAAGAATCTTTGAAATAACTGCTGTCGAAGTTCTCATCAGCACTAAATTGCTTCACATAATTGAGTTTAATTTATATTAAATAACTCTTGCAACTCTCACTTCATTTTGAGAAAATATTATGAAAAAAAAGCTTTTAAAAAACCTTACTTTGATCCATTAGAATTGTGCTCTTCTGGAGCAAGTGACAAGGACCTATGCAATTCCCTGGCTGGGAGTGTGTGGAGGGGTGCTAATTATATGGTGGGTAATATCTGAGCAGCTTGGGGTCTCTGTAGCAGACATAAGTGGCTGAACATCACACAAAACGTGTTCAGGGAGTTGGAAGCATTGAAAAGTTCCCAGCATCGAAAGAGGCTACCACAATGGCTTATGTTCCAAAGCCCAGTTTCATAGCAATGGGAGAGGCACTAGAATTTCTTCTCGATTATCTTCATCCTTGTCTCATGATTTGAATTCCCACATCTTGTTTTTAGATCCCCAAAAGTCAGCTCCAATGCAAAGATTAGTGTGTACATAGTTTATTGGAGGTGGTTCTAGAGAATGTTGGTTGAAAGTGAATCAGGGAAGGGAAGGAAGGTAATAAAGGGAGTGCCATCACACCAGCTACTGGTATGACAACCTGGAGACCAATCCATTTGAGTAGGAAGAGAGCATGACCTTTGGAGATATCCTAAATGAAGCTTGAAGATGGAGAAATCATCTATAACTTGTTGTCCATTACTGGTTGAGGGCTTTGCCTTTGTGACACAAATTCTTTGGCATTTCTAGCTTGCTCCCCTGGTCAGAAAGTGGTCCTCAGAGTTCTGGGATTTTCAGCAAGCAGTGTTAGTGTGTAGAAGGACTGCCAAGAGGGCACGGGAGGGGCACCGACATCATCTGTACAACCAGCCCAGCTCAAGTCTACTTGAGCTTTGTGTTTGCACCACTCAAAACCCCCAAATTAGAAAGAATGACAAAAGAACCGTCAGTGTTCTTTCCCAGAGAGATAACTTAGGTTTTCATCCCTGAAGGTGCTACACTCCTAGTTATTCTGCCCTTGTTGGTCCATAGTTTCTACAGCTGCTTGTTTACTGTAGTCACAGACATGAAACTGCTGAAAGTCATCATCTGAGTTTTAGATATATTTTCCTGGCTCCTGCTAGATAGCCATGCCCTGTATCTTCATGATAATCAGGGTCAACTGCCCTGCAGTGTAGTAACTACCAGGCTTTCTGGTCTACTGGCATGAGGATCCCCAAACCACCAGGGATATACATAACTTTAAGTTTGGTATATTAAAAAAAAAAACACCACAAAACTTTTTGCTTCCCTAGTAGAACCATCTCCCTCTCTTTTCCATCCAAGTGAAGCAAGACCTCTTATCCAGCAAAGCCTGGAGTTGTGAGAACAGGAATCACAAAAACCAGTAATTAAAAGTGGAAGTTGCTGGTTCCTGATTCCATATATTTTATCCAACAGGATATAGCACCATCTTGCTGAATAGCTCTTGAACCTCTCAGAGAACCATCCCTAAGCTGGTGTGGTAGCCAAGCCTTTAAGTGGCTACTCCAATCTTGTGGATAATGTTATACATAATAGAAGCTGCATGCCCAATGGTTGCAGGGTCATTGTCACACCCCCTTACCATATAAATGGGTCTATTGCTGTAAGACATAAGACTCCTTGATGATCACAAAATCAGTCAGACTCTCACAGCCCTCATTCATGCTGCCATGTGTGGCACTTAGAATAGAAGACAAATCTATATCCAGAATACATATTAAAGAGAAAACATTTCTGCCACCTGTAGGGTGGAAGCAGTCCAATGTAATCAACTTTACAACAAGTGGCTGGCTGATTGGCCTCCTTAAAGGGTGAGTCCATATTGAAGACTCAGCTGTATCTACTGCTGATAGGTTGGATATTTGGTAGTAGACATAGCTAAATCTAACTATGCTTCTGAGTTTGTAGAGAACCTCAATTCTGTCATTGTGGCTGATATATATGCATGGGGCTATTGTTGAAGCAATGAAGTGGACAAGGACAAAGGTTGACTGACAGTTTAGATGAATCATCTTCATCCACATAAGCACTCAGAGCATCCTCTGTAGTGGGTGCTTCTAGTAGCTAATGATATGAGATACCATGGTGTGAACAGCTTGTGCCAATAGTCACTGCTCCTCCTACTCAGCTCCTTCAGTGAATGGTCATCCCTACAGGGGACTCACTCTCCTCCCACCTCATCTGCTCAGGGTTCTGACCCTCAAAAAGAGCAGGATGCTGGATGGTTTTCACAGAATCACTGTTGATAACCTGTGGTCGTACCCCTGACTTCCTCTCCAGCTAACTGTGGGCACTTTTATCCTTTTAAGCAGGAACCAATTTTTTCATCATATTCTGTTCTCTTTTCACCCTTCCTTTATAGACTTTGTACCATTTCCCATGGGGTTTTGGTACTTAAATCTTCTAAGCCAATCTTTTGGAATGTCAAAATATATTTTCTTTCGCTACTGCATTTGGTGGTTCTGGCTTTCAAGATTTTGAACTTGCCATATCTTTAGAAAGGTCTACAAAGGGTCTCAAAGGCAAACATTTTACTCTGTTCTCTCTCTGATCTTTACGCTCTTTCCTTCTGGTATTAAGACTCAGGTTTTTGAACTAGTTTTAGAAGAAGTAAGGGCTCCAAACGGAGACATAAAATATATTAGATAGTGTTTGAACACTGTACATCTTCATATGGTCTTCAAATGAAGTGTTTGACATTAGGTTTTAAGAAAACTCTCATATTTCCTTTGGCTCACAGTGAAGTTAGAGCGAGTGCCCAGAGTCCATATAAAAGGAAGTGAGCCTGGGCCCCTCAGCAATGTTTAGATACAGGCTGCAGGTGGCTGAGGGGCACTGTGTGCTCACAGCACAGAAGAATATGGCTGAGTTGTGTTGCTGGGAATCCTTGGTGTGCAGGGAAAAGTTCTGGCCTTCTATATCAAGCCTCGCTCTGAATCTTCCATGGCTCTTCTCTTCGGCAGTTGGTAACATCTGTATCAGGGGGACCAGGCCCTCCTTGGGATGCTGCCTGAACCACTGGAAGACATTGGAAGCTCTGTCCCTGTAACTGTAACTCAGCGTGAAGTTCTCTCCTTCTTTGACTTTCAGGGAAGGAGGACTCTGTTGCACCAGTGGTTGTCCATTTGACCCTGCTCAAGAGGGATGAAAAGATTTTCATGCATAAGAAATTCTTTTATTATTTGTTTTAAGAATTTTATTTTCCATTTGTTCATTCCTTAGAATAAGCCCCAGATTGTACAGAATTCCTGCAGATTTCATTGCCAGGGCCTTCCTCCCTTCTCACTGCTGTCCCCACTCACAGGTCAGCCACATATACAGGAGCAGCAGGGAAGCCCTCAGGGGAGGCCCCATTCTTCCCCCTGGAGCTTCTGAGGGTTCAGTTTGGAGGCCTGGCACTGACTGTGTTCAAGGGGCCTGCTTCACTTTCTAATTCTGGTTCTTTCAGTTTCAAAGCCTGGGGATGTTGTTTTCACAGCCAATCAAGACCTCGCTGTCATGAAACTCTGAATACCTGACTGGTGGCTCCCATTCACCTTGTTTTGGTTTCCAGCAGTGCCTCTGTCAGTGAAAGCACTGCCCCCATATGGTCAGAACTTTTTAATTAAACCTTTTCCCATTTCCCATTGAATACGAAGTAGCTTATCATGTTAAAGGAAGCTAGAATAGAGAGGTGAAATGCAAACAAGAAGGAAATGAATGCATTTGATGTTGAGGCTGTGATTACTTGCATTTTGATTCACTATTAATATGTCTAAGTAGTCAAACAGTTTTGTCATATTCCTGGAAAATGTTTTGGATTTATGAATTGTGAGTTTTTTTTCCCCTCTCCTCTTCTATCCTTAGAATTACAAATCAAACTTTTAAATTCAAGTGCCATCTTTTTTTTTTTTTTTTGGTGGTACTTGGGTTTGAACTCAGGATCTTATGCTTGCCAGGCAGAAGCTCTACCACATGGAACACACCCAGCCCTTTTTGATGTAGGTATTTTTTGAATAAGTATCACATTTGTGCCTGGGCAGACCTGGACCATGATCCTCCTATCTTATGCTTCCCATGTATCTGGGATGACAGGTGCACACCACCACACCCAGTTTTTGTGAGTTGAGATAAGGTCCTGACAATTTTTTGACCTCCTGCCCCTCTCCCCCTGCCGTATTTGGGGTGGTATTGGAGCTTGAACTCAAGACTTCCAGGGCTTTGTGCTTGCTAGGAAGACGCTCTACCACTTAAGCCATGCCTCCAGTCCTGTCTAAGTATTTCAACACCAGTAATTCCCTTCTTCACTCTTCTTACCCTTCATGGAAATCTACGCAGGTTTTTTTTTTCATGCCTGACACTATACTACACTCACAAATGTGTAAATGGGCTGAGTGAAGACCTGATTCCTTTCCTCAGTTGATTCTGTCCCTGCCATAAATTTATTATGTCTCTCAATCTGAACAGCTGTAAATTGTCTCTAAAAACACAAAGCTTTTATACTTTTATACTTTTTATACTGTCTTTTCTTTATTATTTTCTCAGGCCTGAAAAAGCAGCCTGGTGTTTGGCTGTCTCT